TCTTAAGGTGAGCCAACTATTATGCCAAGAAGCTTTCAAATATCAAAAAGAGGGTATTCAAAAAGAATGTTGGTACTTACAAAACTACTTAAAAAAGGGACAAAAAATGGGATTGGACACTTTAATGACAAGAAGCTTTCGAATATTCGAAATAATTGATGATGACGGATCACGTCCTAGCACTCCCAAACATTGAAAAACCTTTTGAAGTACAAACAGATTTGCCAAACTTTTCTCTTGGAAAGGTATTATTGGAAGAGGGACTTCTAGTTGCGTTTAAAAGTCGAAAGTAAAACGAAGCTTAAAAGAGATACACTACGTAGGAAAAAGCTCTTAGCTGTAATTCATTATTTACGAGCATGGCGACAGTACTTGCTAGGGTCCCAATTTTTAGTTAAGATAGACAATACTGCAATTAGTCACTTTTTTACTCAATTGTAACTTAAAGCCAAACAAAGGAAATGGTAAGAGTTTTTAGTCAAGTTTGATTTCCATTTCGAACACAAGTATAAAAAAGCTAATCAAACGGTAGATGCACTCAGTAGAAAGGTTGAATTCGTAGCTCTCAAAGTGATAGCCCTAATCATAGAAAGTAAAGTAATTACAAGTATCTACAACCTTATTGAAAAGAATTTGGATAGAGATCTCTAAACCATTATCATCATGAAATTAATGGAAACTGGAAAGTCCAAGTATTCTTAGGTAGAAAATGGACTCCTACTAACAAAATGACCATAAATATTTGTTCCAAGAGTTTGAGAGCTGAGATAAAAGTTGATGCAAGAATGTCATGACACTCCATGGGTAAGACATCCAAGTTGGCAGTGCACTATGGTATTATTGAAACAAGGTTACTACTAATGCCATATGCGGCAAGATGTGATGGATTATACCAAGACATGCCTTATTTGTCAACAATACAAAGTAAAGAGACAAAAGCCAGTAGGAATGCTTGAATAGCTATTAATACTAAGCAAATTATGGGTAAGCAGTTCTCTTGACTTCATAGTAAGGCTCCCTAAAGTGGGAGATATGACAACGTGGTAGTAGACTAGTTTTCAAAGTATGTTACATTTATCCCAATACAGAAGTTTGGCTCTACAAAAGAAACAATTCGTACAATTTTCAAACATGTGGTAAAGTATAGGGACATAACTAAAAGCATTATCAATGACAAAGATCTAAAGTTTATTGGTTTCTTTTGAAAACAGCTTTTGAAGCTATTGGTCAAAACTCAACATTTCCTCTCATTATCATCCTCAAACAGATAGTCAAACGGAATGCTTCAACAAACTATTGGAGGAATATCTACGACACTTTATATAGGCAAATTAGAAGAATTGGCTTAATCTATTAGATGTGTCTCAATTATGCTTTAACTCGTAAAAAAGTTTCGCCACATAAAACCCCTTTCAAAGTTGTCACTAGGAAACAACCTAAACTTTCCCACACCTCGGTGCCATCTTATATCAAGAAAAGCCCTCAAGCCTTTAACTTTGCTAAAGAGTGAAAGCAAAACACTAAAATCACCCGAGCCTATCTAGAGAAAGTCTCTAACCACATGAAGAGGTAGGTACACAAAGGTCAAAAGGAGGAACACTTTAAGGTAAAGGACCTTGTGCTAATGAAATTGGTACACGAAAAACTCAAATTCTTAAGAAAAAGAGATAGACGACTAGTGTGGAACTATAAACGTCCCGTACAGATTACAATTAAGTTAGGGAAGACTTTTTACAAGATTGATCCATCCAAGTGGATGAAGGTGTATCCAGTGTTTCGCGTTAGCAACTTGAAGTTGTTCCATGCAAATGCAAGCAAGAATCAAGCCACGAGAGCTACCATCACGACCAGGCCACTATCATAATGCCGAATAGAGGATGCAAAGAGAACAACCATAATCAATCAATGGCCAACATAAGAGTACTTAGTAAAATGGGAAGGTTTGGGGACAAATGAAATCACCTAGGAGAAGAAAGCCGACCTTGGCACCTTCAAGTAGATTGAAGAATTCTAAGTCAACTAGTCAACGAGGACATTGATAGATTGAGTGGAGGAGGATGTCATAAGCTAACTTTGTATAAAGCTATGACAAGGTAGAATTGTCTAGGAGACTAAGTCTATTGTACCCTCAAGGGATATGTGCCCTTTTAAAAACTGTAATGGCACTTGGTGATGTCTTTGGAAATGCTTGTTAAGCCTTTAAAGGGAAGACCCTTTAGGGAAAGAATGACCCCATGTCACGCTTTATAATAGTTTTTTTAAAAGGAAGACCTTTTAGGGAAAGAATAACCCCATCTCACACTTTATAACAGTTCTTGGTGATATACTTACAAAATCTTGCAAACTCTTTATAAGGGATAAGTAGTCGGTGGATTGTTAGGCTACCTCACTAGTAAAGGTATTTTTATAGCGAACCATCTAAGGCTACCCTTATGGTTCGACGATGAAGCGTCTTGGTCCCTTTGTACTTATCTTAATATTAATAAAACATTTCTTTTATGTGGCTCTAATGGTTGTGTACATGGCATTCGTTATGCTTTATGATTTCGATGTTGCATTACCTTAAACTAATTTGTGGCTATTATTGATATTTGTTCAAATATAAACAAGCTATTGGTTGGATTGTGTAGAAGTGTCCATCCAAGCGCTACATGAACTATCACATGCTTAAACAAAAGATAGTAGTTTGTGACACCCTACCTTGGAAAAAGGTACCGTTGCTGGCCTTGTCGTCAATATTTTCTAGTCGGCTACTAATAAAGAAATGGAAATATTAAAAAAATGTAGCAATGAAAAAAACTAATTGTTTTAAATTTTCATAAAAAATTATAAGATTGTATGTCCACGCCATCACAACATGTGAAATTAAAATGACACATGACAAGTTCATATGACATTTTTAATGAATAATGGAAGCCAATTAAATATTAATTACCTATTTTTCCTTTATTGAATCACTTTGAATAGTTGAGATTCTTAATCGCATTACATCTTAAATTGGTGTTAAGTCATACATTAAAACTAAAAGTTTTGGTCCTAAATTGTTTGATAAAAAGTTAAGCTACAATGCAACAATTTTATGAAATTTTTTCGTATCACAATTTTTGATTTTTGTAATTTTTTTCATGTCAACATTTTTTACAGAGATTTGAATCATATAATGATTGATTTCCTTAGTTTGACAAAATTTGAAAGTTTAATAGATAATTTAAATCCAAGCAAAAAAATTGATTAAATTTCACAAAATGTAAGCTGTATGAATAAGAGTAGAATTTCGAGAAAGAATAATGGTCAAAAGTGCATTACACCACAAAGTTATATAATAAGTAAAGATTTTTAGAAGATCAAGGGTGAGTACATAGAAGGATGAAATTTCGTACTGGACAGAAAGGACAAACTTTTTAGGTTAACAGGGCCAAATAAGTATAGGTTAAAAAATTGAAAATTTTCTAAAGGGAGAAAGTAGGAGTAAGAAAGTCTCCACCCTAATTGTTATAACGAGTAGGATATTCATTATTTTTGAAGTGTTTTAATCTAAATTACATTATTTGATAGAGTATTTAAATTTTATAAATATTAATTAGTTTTTTGAATTGTTATTCGAGTTTGTATTTAGATATTTTAGATATATTTTTTAAATATTTGTATACCCTAAAATAGCTAATTATAATAAATTAGATATTATGAATCTTATTAATAAAAATTAATTTATAAAAAATAAATTAAAATTTAAAATCATATTTAGAACAATTAATGAATTTTAGTAAATATTAAATTAATTAAATGAAATTTATATACACAAATTAATTTCTATAAAATTGAAATTTAAAATTAAAAAATCATTATTTATAATAACTTCACATTGTAAGTACCATATGATCACCACTTGAACCATACTTGCAGGCGTGATAGAGTATGGCAAACCAATTATAATACAGTAGTTTTATTACGTAAACCCTATCTGAACCCTAAAAACCCTACGACGACTATCTGAAATATACCCAAAGTTGTGGCATGAGTATGACAAACCACTTAATGGATAATACTTTTACTACCTAAATCCTATTCAAAACCAATTATAAGTACCCTAATTTTTAGTCAACCCGATTACAAAACACATTGACATCCTTACTTGGTCCGGATCCCTGAGAATGACACATCATTTCTCTTAATTTACTTCCACGACAATTGGGCTAATTATTTGGCACCCCAAGGAGTTATTGATTTGGAAAAAAATAGCAAGTGTTGAATGTTCACGGGCTGTAAGGAAAAATTGTAGTAACATCCACAAAATGGAATATATGTAAGCTCAGTATCAGCATCATAAGTATATGAGTAATTCATGGAAGATAAAATTTGACATCTTTTTAATCAAAGATCCTCCCTGGGTCTTGTACTTTTGCGAAATGTTTACCTCATTTTATTTACTGCCATTAGTGGAAACACCAATCCTGTAGAGTAGAGGCGTAATAATTCATTTTTCTTTGTAATTATGCGACATGCTGTTGATCTCATTTAAACGACGCACGCAGCAAATAAATGTGATCCATTATTATCTCAAGTACTTTAATACCGAGACCCACCACAAAGCCTTTTTAATTAAGCACTGCCCAAACACAGCCTTAGTGGGGGCAGGGGTCAATTTCAGAGGTCTCCAATAAGCCGACATAAGTTTAAATGTAGCTCGTTCAGCACAAGCTTAATACCTTAGCTGCCGCGCCCAACCTAAAGACAGCTATCAAACATAGACCTGCCATCTTTTCAAGTCCCAACCGTGAAATGTATTCAGATTGATAGACAAAAACCCAGCCTCGGGTGACAGCTGGTGCTCCTTTTCTTTTTAGGCCACAGGCGTTTATTATAGCTGGCTTTTTGGTCTGCTGGGTCTTTTAATTTTAGTGAATACTTGTCTTTAAAAATTGGAAAAGAAAGAAACACAGATGAAACACCACCAAGCCACCCGGTTGGCTTCCCACCTTGTGTGTATTTTCTAAAGAGTGTAGACAAACATACTTGCTGTGGGCGTGGGATTTTCTTGCATAGAGATTCCAATCGGATTAATCTCTCTTTTTGACCTTACAAAAGGTTAAAGAAAAACGCAGAGGCATCTTTGCTGATCTACAAACATGCCTGACTTTCTTTCATCAAAAATAACAAAAGCAAAAAGCACGAGGCTCCGGGTGAGAAAAGCATACATAAAGAGAACAAAAAATTTCTAGCGCCCATGGCTGTCAATGTTTCCACTTTGCTATCACCGGTTGTGAAGAGAAATCTCTGTGCTCTTTTCTCTAATCACTAATGATCAGTTCAGAAATGAAATCATATTTTCCCCTGTTAGAGAAATCCAAAAACTTCCCAAATTCCAAATGGGTAGTGTACTAATTGTATCTAGTCTTCTTTCCCTTATAAGACTCCAAAAGTAATTTTGCTTCAAAGTCCCATCAGGATGTAGTAAACCAGTGTTATAGGAAGGGCAATCAGCATTCCGAATATCACCCTGAACAAAATTAGGAATGAAGAATTTCAGCTTCACATCATGACTTATAAGCAATCATTATCCATAATGACATACTAACATTAATAATTACATTGATTCAATTACCCAAAAAAAAGGAAAAAGAAAAGCATTCATAATTGCATGCAATAAACATGAAAGCTTATATCTTTGGACTTGGACCACCACCTTATTCTCAGCTGGACCACTAGCACATAAGATTAAAGCTTATATCTTTACAAATAGAGACATGCACGTCAGTACAAGTCATGCCGCATGAAAGAGTTTCGCATATGAGAAGCTAAAGAGTTTAGATAAAAGTTCGTTACACACCCTGTGCTCAATATGTCAGGATGAACATTGTATTCCTTTGCAAAGACGAAAGGGACAATCCCTTGTGGAAGAGCTGCCTGAAAATCCAAACAATTCAAAGTCCTGAATCAGATCTACTTGACAGAGTAGAGAACCCGCCAAACAAGGTTAATACAAGAAACCGCTATTACCTGCACAATTGCGATATGTAGTAGGACACCTCTCAATCCAACAGCGATCGAGGCAGCAGCCATAACTGCAGGACCTGTTAGGAATCGAACTGCCATGGCAAAGGCTGCAATCGTGTTTCCACATGCAATAATCCTCGGCTGAAGTGCCATGAATAAACCTGCAACCCAAAATCTTAGCTTCTGCAGAAGAATCAAGCAAAAATACAAATTGACAACAACAGTTTTACCGACTAAAATGCCTGGATATCTTCCAAACACAGAAACCTCAATTAAGTTGATCATTGACTTACCAAGACTAAACATTGCCATTCCAAGACCTGCATCAGAAAGAATAGATATTGAACGAGCAATTATTGCAGGCATCTCAATATCCCATCTGCAAAAATGCAAAGAGCCATTAAAATTTTGTATAAATGGATCAGAAAAATACACTTCAAAGGAAAAGGTGATGTAGCTTTACACACTTGAACGAAACAAGAGACCAGGTGAGGCCAATCAGACTCGAATAAGTATTGGGATTCCTGATTAGTTTTCGCCACACCATTATGAGGATGAGTCTAGTCATAACACTAGCAGGAGGCATAGCAGTTGGCTTTGTTTCGGCGTGAGCACTACCCTTAGGGTGGAGTTCAGTTGTGGAGCTTGAACCAAGCTTGGAAAGCACTGGTCCTTCACGGTCAACCCCACTTGTAAGTTGTTTATTACCAAAGCTAAATTCATCTCTACCATACTCATCATAGTCTGGAAGTCAAAAAAAAAAAAAACATAAATTATTGCTAATACAACAAATGAAAATGACATGAGAGGAAAGCATTATTAGAGTGATGACAAATACAACCAAAAGAAAACACTCCGTGGATCAAAAGAAAGAAGAACAAGACCATCAAGGAAGAGAAAGGCGAAAAGGAAAAGAGGCAACAAACAACCAACCAGCCCCACTTGATGCACAACGGGAAAAAGCATTCTCCAATCCCAAACTCTCATTCAACAAGACAAATACAGTTACCCCAATAAACAGAGCATTCCAATAAAACAAAAATGCGACTCATTCACGTCCAATACTATAAAACCACATTCACAACATCCAAGAAACAATCAAGACTAAAGGTAACAAATAACAAATAACCTTAAAGTTTAGTGTTGGAAATTGCCAAATCCTAATGCCCCTCAATGCAAAATCACAGTCAGAACAAGTAGTAAACGAAAACGACCAAAAAATACCGAAACCCAAACAACGACTTTGAAAGGTTAATGTTGATACCTTTTTGGTGAGCTACCCCACCAAGATCATTCCCATACTCTCCTCCCCTGAAAACATGAATCCCACCTTCTGATACAGGAGAAGCGCTTGAACTCCAAACAAACATATGCAAATCCTTGCCACTATCAGTTCCATTTGCCTTCTTCTTGGCACCTGGTCCAGTCACTGGAGAGAAGATTCCAGCACTAGTTGGAGCAGGATAAGCATTGCCATTTGCTCTCCCTGGATTACCAAATACCCCAAGTCCGTTCTCTTCATCGAAACCCAAGTTCCCAAAGTTGGATTGTCTTGGACTCACATTGCTTACGTTTTTTCCATTCACCATTGAGTAGAAATCAGTGTGGTTGAAGCTGGATCCTCTTGGAGTAGGATTTCTTGATGATTGGAGGGAGTAAATTTCCGCATTTGTCAAATTTGATGGCCTTGGGGTTAAAGAGACGCCTGAGTTTGGACCGTGTGATCGGCGAGAAAAAATTTCCGAGCGAGAACTAGTAGATTTTCTAACAGTGACATGGAGTTTCCCGTCTTCCCCAACTTCGGCATCGGTTTGCAATGGCTCTTTCCCGTCCAGGGAAATGATATCAGAATCAACTTTGAAGGAAATGATAGAGCCAGCAGTATCTGGGAATTGCTCAGCTATCAGAAGTCTAGCTCCTCTGTATTCAAAGAGAAAGAGCATCAACGTGTACCAAATTATGCATTGAAGAACGACTATTTGGACCATTAAGCTCCCTGAATATTCTCCATACATTCCTTTCAACAAAGGGATGCCCATGACAAGAGTGTTTGGAAGAGTTGAGAGCGAAAATAAGGTGATGGACCATTCCAGGGAACCTCTTGAGCTAGTTCTTGACCAGATAGCCAACACAACCAAGACTATGATCTTTTGGAGAGTGTCCGCTGCAATGAACCTCAAGTTCATAGCGTATGGATTGTTGGTAGATATGAAATGGAAAGAAAGGAGAGGCACTGCAAATAAAGCAACGAACCGATTGATGCCAGAGCACTGGTCAGGGCTGAAGATTTTCCACCATTTCACAGAACCATATGCTAAGATCATAGCCACATAAAGCGGCACCACGGCAGTAAGGACATGGTAGAGGTCTGTGGCACTGATCATTGTGTATTGCAAGAGAAACCCAGATGACAAATATATAAAGAGCTAACAAGTGTAAAACCCAGATATAATTTCACACGAGAACGAAGAAGAAATGCACTTTGTATGATTCTTCCCACAGTTGTCAGGGATTTTCTTGTAGGAAATGGAAAGAGTAGGGCAGGAAAATGACTATAACCGATGAGGGAAAGAACCAAAAAAAATCAGCCCCATTATCATATCGGGTCAAGGGATAATTAACTAAGAAACAAAAAAAAAGAGAGGACACAGCTGATAATGGTCACCGTAAATATAGCTTCGGCGAGAGAAAACAGAGAAAGGAGAGTGGAGAAAAAAGAAAGTGAAGGAGTTATATTTAAGGGAGTTTATGGCAGACAAGGACATGAAGCAGGGGGCTTTTTAAGAGCCTTTGTGCAGTAGTCTAGTAAGTATATCTGTCATTTTAGAGAGATAGCAGGGGTATCAGAGGGGAAAAAGTGTACAGCGTGGAAATTGCGGGTGAGAGAAATAAGAATTGAGGGAGGAAATGACCAAACTGCATCAGGAGAGAAAAGGAAAGAAGAAGAACATAAATAAAGCCCGAGAGCTTCTATAGATTCTCTTTTATCATTTCTAGAGTACAGCTACTTTTAGTCTGCGCACATAGAGAAATGACATATAATGTTATTTCCTCCTTTCTTCTGTGCGGGACCAAAGAAAGAAAATTTGTTATGGCGGTTCTTGCGTCTCAATTCTTCTTAATAGCCGATATTTTGTTCTTTGGATATTTTTTAACAACGGGGCATTGTTACGGATCGCAACTCAACGGATTAGAGGTTGCTCAAGAATGTTTCGGAGTATCGGTATGTGAGAGAGTATTATTGAGAGAAAGCCTCTATTGGATAGCGTAAGTCAAGTGCAAAGTGTCAATAGGGGTGCACAGTACAGGCCCCTGGACGAGTCAGCCCGACAGAGAGCATGCCCATGTTGTTGTTATTATTTTACCTTTATCATTTTTTTAAAAAATAAAATTTTGAATTATTGAAAAAATTTAAATAACTTTTTACTTTTATATTACATTTAATCAAATTTTTATATGTGTATCTTTAAGAAAATATATTGTTATAATTTTTTTTTCAAAAAGCATCAAATTCATTCACAAAGAGGGAAAAAAAACCCTCCACCATTGCAAAGGGAACCATACCCCTATACAAACCAAGACCAAAAACCAAAAACACCAAAGAGGACCAATTCATTCAGCCTTCATAAACAAAAAAATCCCAAGGTGGTTGCAGACACTCAAGAACTTGCCTGAACATTCTCGCATTGAAAGAGACCTATTTTCCCAATCTAGTAGAAACAAGGGAAAGATCAATACAAAATGCAAATCCAAAGAAATAGGGCTTATTCACCACCATAAGCCCCAACCTGACACAAAAGATTAGACACAATTGAACCTCACCACCACTTAACCAAGATATAAGAGGGAATTAGTACGCTCTTAAAATCTCACTCTGAAGATGGATGGCGGGGTTAGACAATGTGTCATCTTCTTGGTTTGCCTTTTTCAATGAATGTTTGATCTCCCATATAACACTCATCTATTTTAACCTTTCAGTTTGAATCATCCAATATCTCAATCTCCACGGCGCAGTCATTGGATCTTTAATTTGTTTAACAACGTTGCACGCATCAATTTCAATCAACAAGGAATGATTGTCTTTCCATCTTAAGGTTGAGAAGATCAAAAACGCCTCCTTCATTAGTAGTAGAATTAGCAACGCCAATCGATTCGGAGAAAGTGATTAACACCTCCCTCTTCTCATTCCTCAAAATGCCCCAAATTCCAGTTGGTCCCAAACAACCTTAGGTCACTCTGTCGACATCAAATTTCAACTAACCCTACTTTAGTTTCTCTCATGTTATACCCTTTCTTTCATTTGCTTTCTTTTTACCAAAACATTTAGCATCAGGGAACATAAAAGTAGTCAAAACATAAGGATACTCACTTGGCCACTTAGCATTAGGCCAAAAAACCACTCTTATCTTAGCAGTCTCCCAACACTGTGTACTATCCCAAACTTTACCGTTGCAGACAACATCATTATGACACTTCCAAATTGTCCACAAAATCATAAAATAAGCCATTCACCAAATTCTTTCATCCGCATATCCCTAGTGACAATCGTTCTAAGACTTAAAGAATGATTTAACATTAATAGGAGCAATCCACTGATAACTAAACAAATCATGCCACCAAGACCACATCTTCCACGTTTACAAGCAAAAAATAAACAAGTGATTGGCAAATTTTGTCTCTTTGTTGCACAACACACAAACACTTTAGTTATCTTGTAGTAATCCTTTTCTTACCAGTTTTTCCTTCACCTTAAGTTTTTTCATGGAGAAGTTACCATACAAAAGCCTCAGTTCTATGTGGTGCAAGGCCAAGACATTTTTCCATACCTTGTCTCTCTTTTAAGTGAGTGCCATCAATCTCTTACAGAAAGATTTTGAAATATACAGACCACTAGTGCCACCTTTCCACACCATTTCATCTTTTAGCTCTTTGTTTATCTAGATATCTTTAAGTAGGTTTCCAAGCTGATCCCTTTAAGCAACTTCCCAATCAAAAAGATTCCTTCTCAAGGAAATATCCCATCTCCACACATTCTCTTCCTATCTTCCTTAATATGCAATTCTCCCATCTTTGTTGTTGGCCAAAGCAAAAATCCTTGGAAATATATGAGCCAATGTACCATTTTCAATCCACTCATCAGTCCAAAACCAAATATTTTTGCCTTTTCTAACAATTAAACCAAGTTTAGAGTTTACCAACATTGATTTGAGTAACGAGATTCTACCCCCAAAAGATAGCATCTTAAACTTCCATCTCACCAATTTTCCTTCCACTTTCTCAATGATCAAATTCCAAAAAGCCATGAAATTATGATTAACCCTCAATAGTAGTCCTAAATAGGTAGTTGGGACCTTTCCTACCTACTACTCAATCAAAGCAGCCTATTTTTGAACCAACACACTTTCAATTCCAATCCCAATGAGGTGACTTTTCTTAAAGTTAACACTCAATCTAACACACTTTGAAAACACTTGAGAATTCTTTTCACTACTAAGATATCATCCACTCTAGGATTGCAAAAAAATATTGTGTCATCTACAAATTGAAAATGAGAAATTTAAAGCTCTTGTGTCCCTATTTCGATCCTTTCACGAACTCGCATCTGCTCAGCTCTTTTAATCATACTTCTCAATGCCTCAATAGTGATATTAAACAAGAACAGGGACAAAAGGCAACCTTGCCTAAGCCCTTTTTTCAGTCCAAATTGTCTTATTAGATCACCTTTAACTAACACTGAGACCCTCGCGTACTCATGCACTCCTTAATCCATGATCTCCATTTCCCCCCAAAGATAATTATAAATATATTTTTATAATTAACGATTGACTAATTGTTATTAGTTAAAATATCACTCATCATTTTTATGTCCACATGACATTGATGTGCAAGGTGAAATACTACATGATCATGTCATTATGTAGCATCAGTATGACACGTCATCATCCATTATAACATGTCAGCATATTATGTTAACGTTATATAAGATAGAATGATAAGTAACATTTTGCATAATAAAAGTTAGTCAATTATTAATTATAAATGTTTATTTGATTTTAAATAAAAGTAGGACATGATTAAATTTAATAAAAATAAACATATATTTTAATTTTCTTAAATCATTTAGGAATATGATATTTTTTTATTTATTTTTTGCTGAGAGTTAAAAAATTGATTTTGGTATTACTTTATATTAAATTTTAAATCTTTTCTTATAAAATTTATGCATTATAATTTTAATGTCAATATTTAAATTAAAAATTATGAAAAAAATTAAAATATAAAAACTGTAAAAGTATTAGATGTAGAAAGAAGACCTAATTTCGAGACATAGAGAAAAATGAACAAAAAGAAGGAGTATACTTTTCTAAACAATTTTATTATGCCTTTTGTTTTCTTTTGTGTACTGTTTCTCTATGCATTGCAAAATTTCACAAAGGAAAAATGTAATTTTAAACCAATTGGTTTGTATTCATAGTTTTAAGATATTATACTTTGTTGTTCACAGGAAAAAAATGAGGTCTAATTGTAAAGTTTAACTTTAAAAATTTACACAAAAAATAAATTTTAGATTTTTTTAAAAGGTAAAATTATATCATGCTAAAGATTAAGTAGTTATATTCTTACTTTATTTTACTTTTCAATAATTAAAAAAAGTTTAATAATTAAAAATATTTATCTCCAAAAATGCTTTGGTGTTAGATTCTGAAAATGTTGGAGCCAAACTAAGGTGCTATTAAAAATATTCATCTTCTAAACGCTTTTACTGCTTTAAAAATCTCTCACAAGGTGGATATATTGCTAATTTTAAACATTAAAAAGGAATAAGGAACCTAATGACAAGGCCTTGATACTTGAAGAATTTGATCATTTAGCTTGTACTTGTTGTTTTCTATGTTGTGATGCCCTTCTTTATAAAGAAACCTCAATTTAACCCTTAAATCCACTCTCCCCAATTCTAAGTCAACTTTCGGACAAAGCAATTTTTGCATCTTTATTTGAGTTTCATTTAGAGTTGTCGACTTTTTATGATCAGCAGACTATTTTGAAGAGAAATGAAGATTTGGAAACAGAAGATATGGATTTTTTTAGAGAGAAAACAATTCACACTACTTGTATTTTATTTTCATGGAGCTTTTATATAATAGAATTTGAAAATATAAACTACTCAAGTGTACATCTAGCTTTGGGAATCACATACACGAGAATATAGGATCAAGAACTAACAAAGCATAAAAATCAAGTATGGTTTACTGTGTATTACAACGGCTACAATCAACAGAGAATGAAAATGACCGTTAGGCCTTGAAGAAAGCAATCAAAACATCATCAAATCCTAACGTTTAGAAAACAAGAACATACTAACTTGGCAAAACGACAACCTAAGAAGACGCTTTTGCCTTACACATTCAACAACTCATTGAAACGACATCACCA